CATACACTCACTGCTCCACAGTATCTGCAGCCATGATTGTCACACAGGCTGGACTGTCTGCATTTGTTTATCTCTCAGGAGGTTAGTAGTTTACAGAAAAAGCTAAATAGTTTGCTTCCTGTCCAGCCTTGGCCCTCCATGCCCACTAAATTTGGGAACAAGCCCTCATCACTATGAAGGGGCACCCCCACTTTCATTAGAGGGGATGTCTGTCAGCTGCTTCATCCTCCTGGGCCTGGGACATTCATGATGCCTTGGTCCAGAGCATCATAATCAAGGGTTACAAACTGGAGTTTCGCTCCCTGCATCCTCCTCACTTCCTGCTGTCAAAGTTGCCAAGATACCCCCAAAGATTAATGGATCTTTTGGCTGCCCTAGGTCAGCTATTTTCTAAGGTGATCATAGTCCCTATTCCAGAAGCATAAACATTTCAGTGGTTCTATTCCTAACATGTTTTCTGTCCCCAATTCAAAGGGGAGCTGGGGGGGATTTACCCTTCTCTCCATCTAAACATTCCCCTTGCGTTCCTGCAAGTCCACAAGTTCTGAAGATAATCTTCCCACTATGTCATTACCTCTTTTCACCTGGGAGACATTGTGGTGTCAGTGGATATCAAGGTTGCTTATTTGCACTTCCCTATTTTTCCTGCCCATCAGCGCTTTCTGTGAAACACGCAACACTACCAATTTGTTGCGCTTCCGTTAGGTCTGTCCACTGTGCCTCGGGTCTTCACCAAGGTGCTGGCCCCATAGTGGGGTTCTTAGATGTCCTTCTCTTCAGAGGGCAGTTGCTGCAAGCCTTATCCTTCCACATTATTCAGATGATACAAACCATACAGAGCTTCAGATGGCACTGGAACCCTCTCATTACTTTGAGTACCTGGTTCTAGTCATAGACATGGCCCTGTCCAGTGGTTTCCTTCCCCCATAAAAGATCCAGTCTGTCCGCTTCCATGTTTGAACTCTGCAGACGGGTCGCCCAACCGTTTGCTTTTACATTAATGACTGGGCTTGATGTTGGCTTCCATTAGGGCAGTCCCCTATGCTCAATTACACTCAAGGCCATTGCAGCTCAACATTTGACTATGTGGGACAACCAGGTTCAGTCCCTGGATCCTACCCACTTGTAAAGCTTGCCTTCCTTGTCGCCATCTTTTGGCCAGGTGTTTTTCTGAATTGGCTCTTCTCTGTTCACACTTTTGCCAAGTCTTATCAGTTGGACGTATGTCTGTGAAGGTTCTCATTCATCCAGGTCATGGTATATCTGTAAAAAAATAAGTCAAGGCAACTGGATTTGCTGTATTTTTCTTGAAGAAGTTTCACTGGTCATCCAACCAGCTTTCTCAATTCAGAATGACTTGTAAAAAATTATCTGGGAATAAATATGGTGAATGTCGCTCCAATCCACATAATCCGTTAGTCACAACCAGATGTTGATAGCATTTGCATAGTGGGCGCTAGGAGTTAATAACCTGCCCAGAGAGAGGTGTTAAAACAGCATTGTATGTGGCAGACAATTAAGTGAAAATAAAAAAAATAAAAAATTAAAATAAATACATTTAATATTATTTAATATTTGAATAAATACATTTTAATGAAAATGTTCATAGAAAAAAATTATTAACACAGCATACCCATGCACACATAATAGGGATATGCAGATACATAAAAGTCCCCTAGCAAGCTGCACCTGTTGTGAATTTTAGGAGTATAATAGACGTGAAATGTTTTTCATTCCTTAAGGTCTTACGGTTAAACGCAACTTTAAATGAACATGCATTTGTCATTTAGTAAAGTATGTCCCAAGTCAATTTTTTTTGGGTAAAAGTGTTAAGATCCCTTTCACCTTCTCAATTTGTTTTGGCAAGCATTGTCAGGTGGATAGGAAAATGATGAGCAATCCATTAGGGATGCTCTGATACCAACTACTATACTCGGTACAAGTACATGTACAGATACTTTTCGAGCTCCATGACTAGACTAGAGAAAAATTCAAAGTTACAGGTCTAAGTATAAACCTGTATGTTTGTACAGCGATAATACACCTAATTTCTAAACTATAAAAAAGTTGTGGTAGTATACCAAAAACCTAAATTTTTTTAAGACAGCACAGTTAACTATTCAGTGATTTTCTTGTTCGTTAGGTGTGATGTTTCTTGTTTTTGCCATTGTACTGAAAGTTGTAGATTTACTTTAAAGTGTATCTAACCCCCCCCCCAAATGTTAATTATT